TAGAAACGCTTACCTACAACTTGACGGCTGTTTTTAGCAGACTTCACCCTTTGTATTGACTAAAATAAAAGATATATACATGTACATTTAATTACCATTAAATTACATTATATTAATATACCTTTTTTACTGTTCATATCAATATATCTTGAAAAAAAAAGAAGAAAAAACAAAAAAAACAATTGCAAATTCATTACAAAGTATGGACAGAATATAATGCTTTTTGGCAGTCAATCTTAAATCAGTATATATTAACTTTACTTTCATCATAAAAATAACCAACCAAACTAAGCATGGCAGATATTTATTTTCAAAATAAAAATGGTATCTTGTCAAGTGACACTTTTACATTATAGAATGAAGATTCATAAAAATATTTGGATAATACAAGTAGATACATTGGTACCATACATCAATGATACATCTTAGATATCCAAGATAAATAGTTAAGCAAAAGCATTACATTACAAATGAAGTTTGGAAATATATATAATAACTGAATACGTTTCATAGAAGTATATTTGATGAAAGGAAAATACCTCTGATTTGTCCTTATCCATAAATTTCTCAAACTTTTCACTCCAACTTTTAGGATCACTTTCTTCTCTACTGCTACTGCTACTGGCACTTCTTGGTACTGTAGAATTTGACTTCTTTTTCATAACCTTTGAGCCATTAGTCGGCCCGTTTGGTACTAGTGGCTGCGATAAATCGGTGGCCGAGCTATAGTGAAGCTCTGTTTTACCATTAATTGTGGAATCAATTTTCGTGAGTTTGGTTAATTTTCCGTGTCCTATATCTACATCTAGTTTTGCTCCTCTAAACCCCTCTTGTTTATTATGCCCGTGTTGAATGGAGTCTGGGAGATGATAGGTATCAACAAGTCTACTATTCTCACCACTACTTGGAACATTCGAGACTGGTTTCAAATTTTTCACATTGTTTATATATTCGGTACGTTCCGGTTTCTTAACCTCTCTTCTTTCGGTTTTACTTTTCGCAGGTTGAGCACTTATAGAGTTATCAGACCTCTCCGACTTAATGTTGTTACTTTGTTCTTTAGCCGAGGTGATTGGAGCTGATCTAATTTTAGAATCTTCACGATGAGAAGAAATGTTCGCGGGCTTTGCGCCATCTTGTGAATGAGCAAGGTGTACCAGATCATCATACTGGAAACAAGCAGTGATAATAGACACACAAACAATAGTGACAAACAAAGTGATGAGAAATGAAGCAGATTTCTATCAACTAAAACTTAAACCTGATAAATCCAGACAAATATACAAGATAAACCAGAAAACTATATATATGCAAGTATACATGTTACATTATCATTTATATTTTCATTCAAAGAAAGCCAGAAGATTTTCAAAGGGACTGTGACTGATATTACCTGTTTTTGTTTTTCGTCAATGTTAAGTTGAAGTTTGGCAGTGATTTCACCAATGTCCTCATCTGTCTGTTTAAGTTCTTGGTTCAATAACTTCTTTATGTAGTTCCTGTAAACAAAATTAAGAAGAAATTTTAAAAGTTGAAATTCTGTAGACATGCGTTAAATGTTGACCCTCCCTCCGCTAGCTGCCATGTTGTTTAACACTATGATTTTCAAACCTTCCTATATATACAAATATGGTATAGGTAAGAAACCCAATCCATAAGGTGTTTTTAATAAATCAAAATAATCTGAATCTTGGATCATTTATATACATATTTAAAAATCAGGAAGTTTTGAGTTAAGATTTGTTTTGCATAGAATCCACTTTTTGAAACATATTTGAAAAGATAACCCAATGAACTGTCCTTTAAAGTTTTCATGAGATGACTCCATGCTTAAGAAGGAGATGTTGTTTCTTGGAGAATGGACTGACAGACAATGCATAGTGAGTGATTACAATAGCCTACATTTTGTAAGAGCTTATCACACATATAGCTGGAAATTGACAATGTGACATGTCAATATCTTTATTTTAAACAAATTTACCTTACAATAACACTAATGTTAGTCTTAGCCTTAGCAACTGACAAAATAAGACTTGACAATATGATAAATTTCACATACCCTGCAGTAGGACTTAGGTTTGTGTTGGCAGCTGACAATGTGAGTGACTGGCGTAGATCTTTGATACTCTGTATTGCACTGTTGATTTCTTCTCCCCCGGCTTTTGCTGACTTCACCCGTGGTGGTCGGTGACTGTGTGGGTCCTGTACGTAGTCTGGGCCTTCCCTCTTTGTTTCCTCATCATCAGAATCGTGCATACCTAAACATAAATAGACAATGAAGTAAAACTAGGAAATGGAAAATATGAGGGTTTTTTTACAGGCTGAACATCTTTTCAAAACTGAACATATTATCACATTATAATTGTGTATTGATTACAAGGGGATAGAAATTTATAGCCCTTAATGCCGACTTTATGCAATTATAAGAACCTGAACATAAATTTGTATTATCTTTCATCATTCAATAAAAATATATAATTAGAACAAAGCATTGGCCAATTAATGAAAAGATTAAATCAACATTTTCACATGTGTATTAAAACATCAATGCCAAATATCAATAATAACAGGAAACAAGTGCTTGGTATATTACAGCTGACCATGTTAAAATATCCAATGACCAAACCTTGCTTGATCGAGGCTCATCTTTAGATTCATTGAATATTATTAAACATTATAATCATTATGAGCTTATTCTAAAACCACATCTTTATGTTCAATGAATATACAGTTTGCATCATGTTGAAAGTTGCCTGTAACCTTCAATGAATGTATATGCTATAGTTCTTCAAACAGCATCAGGTTTAAAGAGCATTCTTATTCAAAAATTGCTCTATTAAGTTTAATGACCATTTTTATTCTAAAATATGCAAAATTAAATTCCAGAAACATTACTTCAACAAAGGAGTTCACAAAGGGCCATAGTTCAATCAATACAAATTTCAAGTCAAAGTTATTGGCCTAGGACAGTTGAGCCAAGGATATAAAATTACTGACAATTAAATATGCATTTTTCCGAACATTTTTAAAACATCTTTTATCTTTCCTAGCATGACGACTGAAACAATTACGACCAGTATCAGGAGAATTATTTTTCAAAAATGTAAATAAAGACTAAACTGCATTGCATCTACTCTTCCTAATTATATAACACACAGATTATACATGTATATGACAAAAGCTATACCCACCCATTCGACTTTTTCTTCCACTGTGTTTATGACCTTTATGGTGACCTTGACCCTCCCTTCTAGAAGCCTCATCCACTAAATCTAAGAGCAGAGAAAACAAAGCTTGCGCTAAATTCAAGCAGTCATGTAATTTTTCAAGCCAACTGCAAAGTTTTACTTTAAAAAAAACATCCCTTGTCCCAAAACTACAGTACTACTTTGAACCATAAATTTCCTACCAAAAGCAATCAATCTAAGCCAAAAACATATAGACAAATAGAATTTTACAAAACAAATACACATTTCATTAAGTAGTCAATTCATATTCAGGTAAATAATCTTTTCTTTCAATTATTGATTCATTTTGACTTAAGAATAAAGATGGATACAAAAGCAATTATTTAAAAGCCATAACTACATAATACAATGTGTCAGAAAAAAAGGAAATATCACATATGATGCACTCCACATTTTACTTAAAACCCCAACTTTCTTGTTAGCAACTGCTTGCAGTTAAAAGTAATTATTATATACCCATACATTACTTAGATATACATGTATATCTGTTTATTACTTTATTTTATATATAGAATTAAAAATAAATCACCTAAATTCATTTAGATATTTGAGGTTACACATTGTGACAACACATTACATATAGAACAGCCATGTGTACAGTACAAGTTATACATATTATTATGTAAGAACCATTGTTACACATGGAAGCTCACTTCAGACTTGATTTACCTCCCTCTAAATATCCCTCAGGTATCCACTTGTAGCACCAATCCAACACTATATAGTGCATGTACATGTTACTTTATATTTTATCATTAAATTCTATATATCCAAAAGCAACTTATACTTATGCTAAAATCATATGACAGGGGTTTAATTATGTCTTGATTGCTGGTTAAAATCCCCCACAATATGTGAATATTCTTTGACTGATATACCTACCCATCTTAATTAAGTAATGGTACAGGTTCTTTGAAACATAATGAAACCCCTGTATATGCTTATAATCTAGGTATCTTTATTTAAAAGGAAGATTGCTGTTCAAAATCAAATCATTAAAAACTTAAAAGAACCAGATACTAAAATTACTGATTAAGTTATAATAATATATTTGCATAAATGCATGAATTCCTGCATATTTTCCCCACAAAGGCATGACTTAATAAAGGATAACAATATTGTGGAGAAGGGCTGCCTTCGTTTGCACTTATGTCCAATCAAAGTTTATAGTCATATACACCCCTAGACAGTATTTTTTTCATTCTTGCACAAATGATAAAAATTATGTAAATTTGGTATAATTATAAAATCACAATTAGCAGATATATAATGTTCTCCGTGTCAGGAATAATAAAATGTTTATAGAAGGTCTATAAAAAAATAATTATTATATTTTTTTGTAAAAAATTACCGATGTTGCATAATAATACAATAACAAACAGGTATTTCAAAAACACTCCATTTCTAAAACATGTGATAAATATATATAAAGATATACAATACAGTGATCTCGCTATTTCAAGTTTGTGAGAGGAGAAAACAGTGCCGTTCTAAAACAAAGTTTGAAGAAAATTGCACACCTGAGGTATCAAAAAAAATGCTTAAGTATTAACCTGCTAGACTATAAGTTATTAACCATTATGCCACCTGTATAAGGCAGATAAATTTGTACATTTTGATATTGAAATCCCATAAACATTTAATGGACTGTTCTAAACTGAATGCTGAGCAATTCAATTACATTCCATACCTGCAGTATATATTCTGTACATACTACATTTGATAATATAGTATGTATGAAATATATTCTGTAGGTAACCAACAATGATCTAATATAGTATGTACAGGTAACCAATGATGAGGGTTAATGTGCCAAACTTGATACAAAAACTTGAAACTTGATACAAAAATGTACAATGTGAATCGTTGATACTACTTATGGTAAACATGTGACCTATGTGTAGCATAAATAATCAAAATACCCTGTAAGTTAAGCGATAGCTTCCAGTCAATGACTTTATCTGAACCTCGGTCACTGAAAATGTCTACATCTAACAAAACAGAAAACTATTTGTATCATTTTATAAAGCAGATTTTTTTTTTAATTCATGTATAGGTAAAAGTTACAGAAGTGCTTTTGTATTCTAGAGAACACGACCTGGGAGAACCCAATGGGATTTTAGCTCACTTGGACAAAACCCCATTGGCTAATAACCCATTGCTAAATTTGGCAAGGAAGACAATAGCCCACTGCTAAATTTGGCAAGGAAGACAATAGCCCACTGCTAAATTTGGCAAGGACAATAGCCCACAGCCAAATTTGGCAAGGAGGAGAATAGCCCACAGCTAAATTTGGCAAGGAGGAGAATAGCCCACAGCTAAATTTGGCAAGGACAATAGCCCACAGCTAAATTTGGCAAGGAGGAGAATAGCCCACTGCTAAATATGGCAAGGAGGACAATAGCCCACTCCTGAATTTGGCAAGGAAGACAATAGCCCACTGCTAAATTTGGCAAGGAAGACAATAGCCCACTGCTAAATTTGGCAAGGACAATAGCCCACAGCCAAATTTGGCAAGGAGGAGAATAGGCCACAGCTAAATTTGGCAAGGAGGAGAATAGCCCACAGCTAAATTTGGCAAGGACAATAGCCCACAGCTAAATTTGGCAAGGAGGAGAATAGCCCACTGCTAAATATGGCAAGGAGGACAATAGCCCACTCCTGAATTTGGCAAGGCGGACACTAAACCACTAAGGAGGACAATAGCCCATAGCTAAATTTGGCAAGGACAATAGCCCACAGCTAAATTTCGCAAGGACAATTTTGCAGAAGAACAATAGTCAGCTGCTAAATTTGGCAGGGAGGACAACAGCCCATTGCTAATCAAAAAGGGTTTTTAAATCATATTTGAACTTTTTTCATGAAAAATACATTGAGTAATGTTTATGCATTTTTTTATAATAAAATCATCAAACAAATTTCAAATTAAGAACAAGAGCCATGTCAACATGGCCATCCCCCGCCGAATGTGTTTGCTCATTGGAAGAATGTATATGTAGTAGAACAGAATAATTCTACTTTAAGAGGTCTTTTGGTAATGAAAACTGATGGCTATAGTGATTACAGATTTGAAACCTATGTGAATACTGATGGCTGAAAATAACAAAGGGCAATAACTGAAAAATAATGCAGGGTAGGTTATCATTCTTGTGTGCTGCATCCCTCCTCAGTAAAATCTATCCACCTATGAAGTTTCAAGTTGATGCCTCAAATACTTTTTGAGAGAAAAATTGAATTGAAAAATTAAGTATGAATAATAACAAAGGGCAATAACTCAAAAATTATAAAAGGTAGAGTTATCATTCTTGTGCAGTGCACACCTCCTGAGTGAGATCTATGCACCTATGAAGTTTCATTTTGATATCTCAAAGGCTTTTGGAGTTATGCTCTGGACAAAAATTCATTTTGAAAAATAACAAAGGGCAATAACTCAAAAATAATGCAGGGTAGAGTTATCATTCTTATGCACTGCACTCCTCTTCAATGAGATCCATCCACCTTTGAAGTTTCAAGTTGATACCTCAAATACTTTTTGAGATAAGCTCTGGACAAAGTAGCATGAAAAAAAAACAAAGGGCTATAACTCAAAAATTGTATAGGGAAGAGTTATCATTCTTGCGCACAACATTCCTCCTCAATAAGATCTATCCACCTATGACATTTCATGTTGATATCTCAAACACTTTTTGAGTTATGCTCCACTCAGGTGAAAAATTAGGTATGAAAAATAACAAAGGGCAATAACTCAAAAATTATGAAAGGTAGAGTTATCATTCATGTGCACTGCACACCTCCTGAGTGAGATCTATGCACCTATGAAGTTTCATGTTAATATCTCATAGGCTTTTGGAGTTATGCTCTGGACAAAAATCAATTTTGAAAAATAACAAAGGGCAATAACTCAAAAATCATGCAAGGTAGAGTTATCGTTCTTGTGCACTGCACTCCTCCTCAATGAGGTCTATCCACATATTACATTCCTCCTCAATAAGATCTATCCACCTATGAAATTTCATGTTGATATCTCAAACACGTTTTGAGTTATGCTCCACTCAGGTGAAAAATTAGCCATGAAAAATAACAAAGGGCAATAACTCAAAAATTATCAAAGGTAGAGTTATCATTCATGTGCACTGCACACCTCCTGAGTGAGATCTATGCACCTATGAAGTTCCATGTTAATATCTCATAGGCTTTTGGAGTTATGCTCTGGACAAAAATCAATTTTGAAAAATAACAAAGGGCAATAACTCAAAAATCATGCAAGGTAGAGTTATCTCTCTTGTGCACTGCACTCCTCCTCAATGAGGTCTATCCACCTATGAAGTTTCAAGTTGATAACTCAAATACTTTTAGAGATATGCTCCGGACAAAAATGTCGGACGGAAGGTCAAACGGACGGACGGACGGAGACTATTTCTATATCCTCCGCCGAAAATTTTCGGCGGGGGATAACAAGTACATGTGTCTCTTTTTTAAGTTGAATCTAATTTGCCCTATATTTATTACTGAAACCCCCCCCCCCCCCCCCCCGCAAAAAAACACTTTTATTTTTTTAACAAAATATCTGGCAATATTTCTGCAGAGAAAAAAAGATTTTTTTTTTGTCAAGGTCCCTGTGACCTTGACCGTTAACCCAGTGACCTCAAAATCAATAGGGGTCACCTTATGGTCATGATCAACATCCATGCCAAATACGAAGACTGTGGGTCAAAGGAATCTTAAGTTAATGGGTGGACAAACTTTTTTAGTCAAGGCCCCTGTGACCTTGACCTTTGACCCAGTGACCTAAAAATCAATAGGGGTCATCTACTAATCATGACTAACCTCCATGCCAAATATGAGGACTGTGGGTCAAAGCAATCTTAAGTTATTGGGCAGATAAACTTTTTGAAGTCAAAGTCCCTGTGACCTTGACCTTTGATCCAGTGACCTCAAAATCAATAGGGGTCATCTACTAATCATGACTAACCTCCATGCCAAATATGAAGACTGTAGGTCACCACAGTCAAAGGAATCTTAAGTTATTGGGCAGACAAGCTTTTTATAGTCAAGGCCCCTGTGACCTTGACCTTTGACCTGGTGACCTTAAAGTCAATAGGGGTCATCTACTAATCATGACTAACCTCCATGCCAAATATGAAGACTGTGGGTCAAAGGAATATTAGGTTATTGGGCGGACAAGCTTTTTGAAGTCAAGGCCCCTGTGACTTTGACCTTTGACCTGGTGACCTCAAAGTCAATAGGGGTCATCTACTTATCATGACTAACCTCCATGCCAAATATGAAGACTGTGGGTCAAAGGAATCTTAAGTAATTGGGCGGACAAGCTTTTTGAAGTCAAAGCCCCCTGTGACCTTTACCTTTGACCTGGTGACCTCAAAGTCGATAGGGGTCATCTACTAATCATGACTAACCTTAATGCCAAATATGAAGACTGTGGGTCAAAGCAATCTTAAGTTATTGGGCGGACAAGCTTTTTGAAGTCAAGGTCCCTGTGACCTTTGACCTGGTGACCTCAAAATCAATAGGGGTCATCTACTTATCATGACTAACCTCCATGCCAAATATGAAGACTGTGGGTCAAAGGAATCTTAAGTTATTGGTCGGACAAGAAAAAACCGCCGGACAGCCTGACGGACAAGCTGATTCCAGTATACCCCCCTTACAACTTTGTTGTGCGGGGGTATAAAAATTACTTGCTAACAAAACAATATTAAAAGGAATCTACTGAGGTTTTTTGCTCATGAAGGGAAATAATTTTTTGTAATAATCTTGAGATTAAATTTGATGTAGGTCTAGACTAAAAACTTGTGTGCAGAATTTTAATATTCTTATTGTGAAAAATGACCCATAATTGAGAAGTGCTGCAATGACTTTCACTAAAATTGGGCTATTAAGAACAGCACAGAAATGTAGGATTTTCTATTTATTTTTATGTGTATATCTCAGATATCTTTTGCATATCTTTTTTGTTTTAAGTGCTAAGCTAATCTATGAAATTTTGTTTTTGTTTTCCTTTTGTTTTTAGACTTTTGACCTCAGTGGAGTTTCTTCACCATATTAAGTTCCTATACATGTACAATAAAAGTCTTTCTAGCACCAGTTAATCACATGTTTCCCCACATCTTCAGCAATATTTTCATAGCAATGAAAAAAAAACAGTAAAATAATTTAACAATATAATAACATAAATATGCTTTATATCAAACTTACAAGACTAGCAGATAATTACCAGTAATCTCATGCAAACAAAACAACCTAGCACCAATGAAAAACATACAACTCTGATCAACTTGCTTTTCATACATGCTCGAAAGTTTGACATTATTTCATTAATGTTATTGAACCTTAAAAATTTAAGGCAAAGAAAATTTTACCTTTTTCTTTTGTTTCCTCATCTTTTACTGAATCATCAGGTGTCTTCCCATCTTTATCTATATTCATTTGTGAGATCTTGAATGTGTCGTAGTTCACAAATGTAGCCGATGGTATCTGGGCACGTAGACGACTTGATAAACCACCTGTACAGATATAAATTTGAATAGTTGATTAAATTTATCCACCAAATTATAATATTAAAGACTCAAATGAAGAATTACAAAACTGACAAATTGTGAGATCGAGTATGTTTGATAAATTTTTTTTCTTTTAAATCCTTGACAATTAATTACACATTATGCGCCTATCAAATTGGTAACCCCAAAAAACTACTAAGAGGATTCTGACTTTTTAAAATCCCTGGACATTTAAATAGTAAAATATCCATTGAATACCTAAAGAGCATTAATTTTGACTTTAGCATATACATGTATCTTGATATTAAGTTGCCAAAAATGAAAAAAAGAAAAGTCCACAATAAGTAGTGTGGTGACTTAAGATTTAGTAAACACTTGACTCATTTAACATTAAGTTTTAGTTTTTTAGACACTAATGCAGTGATAAGTTTTAATTTAGATGGTTGTAAATAACTTAATTATATAATGATAAATCATCAGATACAGGGTACAATAAATGATGGGAACAAAAAAATCACCTAGTTTTTCATCTTGTCTGGAAGCACTTTTCTCCTGCAAATATAAAATCATAAGTGTTAAAATTAAACCACAATACATAATCAATGTAGAGAAACAAACGAAATTTATCACTTTTATTTTGTGCTGTTGAGATGCACACAAACAATAAACATTGTACATTTTTACTTTCCAACATAAAGTTTCATCAAATAGCACAAACATGAAAATAAGAATACCAAAATTTATTCTTATTCTTACAGATAAATCCTTAAATATATTAACCCTTAACCTGCTGAAACCAGGTGAAAAGTCTTTGCCACCATCATAGAACCAGATGCATCTGTGTAGTCTGACCAGGCTCTATACTGTTGGTATAAATAGCTTGTTTTTTTAGTAAATTAAAATTGGTTTCCCTTAAACTTAGAATGAACTGTCCTAAATTCAAAGCTGTGCAAATCCATTACAAAAACTCAGCAGACTCAGGGTTAATACTAGTAACCAGGGACAAGTTAAAAGTTGTGACTTACCGGTCTCCGCACCTGCAACTGTTGTTGTTGTAGTAATTCTTGCCGTTTCTGAGCCTCGGAAACTTCGAGGATGTGGTGACGACTTGAGCGGCGCTCAGTCTGACTCGCGCTCGAACTCAGCACCCCTGATCCCATCAGCTCCTCCATGTTCATCTCTGAAATATATCAGTGTCACCATGATGCCAGGTACCAGATTCATCTTTAATTATTGTTTTTTGATACATGTATAAAGTTAGGAACCTGATGTTACTTAATTTAAACATGCAGACTGTTAAAGACAATTACGGCAAACAAGAAAGAGAGAGAAAAAACAAAACAGAGTCAAAAGTAAAATTATGTAAACATTGAGAAAATTTCCCTGAAAAGTAAAGAAGTTAGGTAAATGAACAGCTTAAAAGATTGTTAAATTATCATGAACATATAATTACATAAATGATAAGGAAATATCTGCACAAGATCAAACATGAAAACTAAACATTTCCTCCACCATCTCACCAAGCTTAAAACACTCTCACTCTTAAACTACTGTGAAAAAATGTATGTATTACGTATATATTATAAAAAGAAACAATGTCTTATATGTAAATGTGGTAAATAACCTGAAATGAAACGCTGAAAAAAGCAGAAAATTACAGGCACACGTGTCTCTGATCACACAAAGCTTGTGTTGTTAACTGAACTGCACTCTTGCCAAGAAAAATGGTTCAGCTTATGAGTATTTTACTTATTTAACTATACTTATAATTATTTTCACTTCTTTTTTCTTTTTCTTTTTTTATCTTTCTCTCTTTACTATATGTATGCTATACATATTATAGTATTTTAATCCATACTTATTATTCACATTACTTGATATATATGTGTTTGTTTTTATCTTTATGCAAAATAATGACAAAGAAAAAAAAACTTTCAAACACCAGCAGCAAACTTGTTCAAAATACAGTAACAAAGATTTACAGAAAAGCAAAAATAAAACAGTGTGTCATATGACCATTTAAGCCTTAAGTCACATGACCAAAGCTTTCAGTCACATGTTCAATTAAGCATTAAGTCACATGACCAAAGCTTTCAGTCACATGTTTATTTGAGCTTGTAGTCACATGACCAAAGTTTTCAGTCACATGTTCTTTAAAGCCTTATGTCACATGACCAAAGCTTTCAGTCACATGTTCAAATAAGCCTAAAGTCACATGACCAAAGCCTTCAGTCACATGTTCATTTAAGCCTTAAGTTACATGACCAAAGCTACAAGTCACATGTGTAAGCCATTGTACATAAACTCACCATTATCAGCAACCCATGTATACCCAGCTACAATAGTATCATACTATACTTTATCATTATTGTTAATAATAACTGACACTTTACTACTTACTAAACAAAACCTCTAACCATCATAATATTTCAAAAACATCTTTTCAGTCAATAAAAATGCAACCCCCTCCCAAACAAACGAGAAATGAAACATATAATAATTATCATGACAATTTTGCCATTCAAAGGCAATAACTCTTACAAAATTGTAAATAAATTTGCAAAAGTATATCAATTATTTCTTTATTGAAAATTAAATTCAAGAAACAAACCAGAAGATACTTCAAATAATTGATATAAAATGATTTGATTAGAAATTTTGTTTAGCACATATTTTTGATACAACCTAGACTAGCTAGATATGAATATAAGCAAGGTAATCTTCCCTGAGCTTTCCATTTGGTTCATACCGCACCATTTTATTATTCAATGTGAATGTGGAAAGGTATTTTACTTTTCAAGAGCTAAATGATAAGGCATCAGGACAATAACCTTTAAACTACAAGAATATGTTATAATTTTTTTTCATTTAAACCTTTACGCTTCTAAATTAAAGCAAATGGACTTAGGTCTTTATTGGCTGGGACAGTATGATTCATCTATCTTACAAAAATTGTAAATATTAATTTCATAATTAAAATATATTCATTGCTGATTGTTGAATAAATTTCTTAGTTGTAAAATAATTACACAAACTACTTTAATTGTAATAGAAAACTAGCACCATTTACTTTGTGAAACTATGACAAAACCATAAGGGAAAACTAGAAAAATGTCTATAGGACACATATGCTCCTGCCATACTACACATGTATATCAGTTAACTGTGACTTAGGTGTTGCAGGTGACACACCCTATGACCATGGTGAAGATCTGTTTTGACAATCCATTACAGAAGATAAAAGAGTTAAACCAAAGATAAAGGCAGACCTTTGACTTCCATCTGCTAGCTTGACCTTGAATATGCAAACATGGATTTTGCAAATTACCCAACTGTGGTATGAATGTGATTGTGCCAAATATTTTGTCAAACCATCAAGGAATGACAAGAGTTTTAAGCTGTACATATTAATTTCACCATTGACTGCCACCATCTTTAAACTTTAAAACTTTCAAGGTGGAGATTTGGGTCTTGCACACAATACAGTCTTCTTTCTCTTCCTTGAATCCCATCATGCATGCAGAGGTTATTGACTGGTCACAAACGCAAGCTGCACTCAGTCTATATGACAAAACACATAGTTCAATCTTTTTCTCTGACTAGGGATTAAGGACTATCATGCAACTCATTGTCTGCATATAATATTTAAGTCTACCAATCCATTTTGAATTTGAATCATGCATGCCAATGATATGGACTGGCATGAAATCCAACTCCAATCCTTTGCTGTGACCTTGACTTTTCAACTTGGGTGTCAGTCTTCCACCTGACACATCCTCTATTTATAGTGATCATGTTTAACCAATTTATTTTGAAATCATGCATGTAGTAGACATGGACTGGACACAAGAGAAATGACTTTTTGCGCACACAACACACAATCATGTGAACAAGGTAAACACTATATGCCTTTGCCCTTTGGTGGCAAGGTCATAAAAAACATTGCCCCTTTTAAAGGTCAAGATAAAAATTCTAAAGTCAGGAAAATACTGTTAAGCTACCTCTATAGGATTAAATATAATGGTAAATAATAGTCCTCACTCTAGCTTTTGGTCATCTTTAAAAAGTTGTGATTCTCTGAACTGTGGCCCATTTTGCTTTGCTGTTCTCGAACAAAACCTAGTTTGCAAGTGATTAACATATACAGACAAACATTGATGACTCCAATTCAGGGTCTTGAATAAAGGCGGCAAATAAATGCTTAACCTGCTTAAACAAATACTGATCAATCTTTGACCCCAGCAGAGCACAAATGTTTGCATCTCAATTTTTTGTACTTTCAAATTGAAATAAGTGGACTGTTCCAAATTTGAAGCTGGGCAAATCCATTATGTGACATACAGGATGGGATGAAAATAAATTGTTCTAGAAACGGGAATCTTGGGACTATTAACATTAAATTATAACAAACAATAAATTATTTTGGAATTTCATATGAAATGCAATTACTAAGAAGATTAGTTTCGTAATACATTTTGTAAAGTTGAAAAAAGGGGGGAAAATGGATATGATATTATTGTATACTAATAATGTGATAAAACTGCTTTAAGCTATGCCGTGCAATATAATGTAAAAATGTTTTTATATCTAAAACAAATACCTCGCCAGACAACAGTATGGTTTTCTCCAATCATAGGAGAAACTCCTGACAAATAAAATTATAGATATAATAGAATAACATTATTTATTAAATCCTCAATTAAGGATAAAACTTTTATCCAAGAAAAACAAGACATATCACTAAATGCGAAGGGTTCTCCCTGAAAGTGCTCTTATGTCGATATACTATAATTAAAATATGTAAAAAAAAGTAAAAATTATATTTCTATCATAATTGACCTTGACAACGGTGACAAAAATCAGAGGACTACACAAGATATGTTTCTACAAAATATGAAAGGATGTTAATTTATAAAGACTGCATAAGCAATAATAATAAAAAAAAAAAAATAAGCACATGTGTCCTTGACCCAAGTGACCTTTCACTTCAACCCAAATTTTGAAGACCAGGTATTGAAGATCAAGGTATTTACCCATCAAATATTGTTTGTCAATAAAAAGGTTGTATGAACACTGGTGACCTTAACCCCAGTGCTCCTGATTTCCAACCAAATGTAGAGGACCACATAGGATATATTCCTACCAAATATGAAATTGATCTGTCAAAAATAAAGACTGTATAAGCAAAAGTGTAAAAATCTAGTTTTAGCACTGATTACCTTGACCTTGACCAAAGTGAACCCAAGTACTACCCAAACTTGGAAGATCACCTAGGGTATCTACTTAGCTAATATGGAAGACATCAGTCAATAATTAAAGGTTGTATAAGTGAAAGTGTAACTAGAAATGTGTCCATAGGACACGGATGCCCCCACACGCCACTGTTCTGTCAATCTTATGATTTTAGGTCAAATATTTTTTGGACTACATGTGCCACAAGTTGAAAACTAAAAATCAACAAAGGGCCATAATTCTGTTAAATTTGGTCACAGCAAAAATTCCTTCCTTTACTACCATCTACACAATAAGGTTGTTCATCCCTGGAAGTTTAAGCAAAATCTGCCATCCGGTTTAAGAGGAGTTGCGTTCACAAAATTTCTACATAGTATATAGTGATAAAATCAACAAAGGGCCATAATTCTGTTAAATATGGTCGCAGCAAAAATTCCTTCCTTTACTACCATCTTCACATAAAGGTTGTTCATCCCTGGAAGTTTAAGCAAAATCTGCCATCCGGTTTAAGAGGAGTTGCGTTCACAAAATTTCTACATAGTATATAGTGAAAAAATCAACAAAGGGCCATAATTCTGTTAAATTTGGTTGCAGCAAAAATTTCTTCCTTTACTACCATCTACACATTAAGGTTGTTCATCCCTGGAAGTTTAAGCAAAATCTGCCATCCGGTTTAAGAGGAGTTGCGTTCACAAAATTTCTACATAGTATATAGTGAAAAAATCAACAAAGGGCCATAATTCTGTTAAATTTGGTCGCAGCAAAAATTCCTTCCTATACTACCATCTACACATTAAGGTCTTTCATCCCTGGAAGTTTAAGCAAAATCTGCCATCCGGTTTAAGAGGAGTTGCGTTCACAAGATTTCGGGACGTACGGACAGACGGACGGACTGACGTACGGACACTCGGACGGACAAGTGCAACGCTATATGCTCCCACTCTGTGG